TTTTTTTCAAATGAAATTTTTTTTTTTGACAGGTTCAAACTTAAAAAAAATATTTTTTTTCAAACGTCATTTTTTGACAGGTCCAATCCTATAAAAAAAATTCAAATGAATTTTTTTTTTCTTTTCTAATAGTCATTTTTTTTTTGACAGGTCCAATATGATTTTTTTTTTCAAACGTCATTTTTTGACAGGTCCAATCCTATAAAAAAAAACATTTTTCAAATTACAGGTCCGATGACACCTATAAATTATTTTTTTTTCAAGTATCATTTTTTTTTGACAGGTCCAATAATATGAAAATGTTTTTTTTTTTTTTCAAACGTCATTTTTTTCACAGGTCCAAAGTTATAAAAAAAATTTTTTTTTTTTTTTTCAAACGTCATTTTTTGACAGGTCCAATCCTATAAAAAAAAAAAAAAAATCCAAATTACAAGTTTAATGACACCTATAAATTATTATTATTTTTTTTTTCAAGTGTCATTTTTTTTTGACAGGTCCAATACATAATATGATTTTTTTTTTTTTCTCAAATGTCATTTTTGACCGGTCCAAACTTATGAAAAAAAAAATATTTTTTTTTAAACGTCATTTTTTGACAGGTCCAATGACACCTATAAATTATTATTTTTTTTTCAAGTGTGTCCTTTTTTTTTGATAGGTCCAATAATATGATTTTTTTTTTTTTTCAAATGTCTTTTTTTTTTGACAGGTACAATGATATGATTTTTTTTTTTTAAATGTCATTTTTTGACAGGTCTAATCCTATTAAAAATTTTTTTTTTTCAAATGAAATTTTTTTTTTGACAGATCCAATGACACCTATAAAATTCTGTATTTTTTTTTGCAAGTTTCATTTTTTTTTGACAGGTGACATAATATGATTTTTTTTTTTTTTTTCAAATGTCATTTTTGACCGGTCCAAACTTATGAAAAAAAAAAAAATTTTTTTTAAACGTCATTTTTTGACAGGTCCAATGACACCTATAAATTATTTTTTTTTTTTTCAAGTGTGTCCTTTTTTTTTGATAGGTCCAATAATATGATATTTTTTTTTTTTTTCAAATGTCTTTTTTTTTTGACAGGTACAATGATATGATTTTTTTTTTAAATGTCATTTTTTGACAGGTCTAATCCTATTAAAAATTTTTTTTTTTCAAATGAAATTTTTTTTTTTGACAGGTTCAAACTTAAAAAAAATATTTTTTTTCAAACGTCATTTTTTGACAGGTCCAATCCTATAAAAAAAATTCAAATGAATTTTTTTTTTCTTTTCTAATAGTCATTTTTTTTTTGACAGGTCCAATATGATTTTTTTTTTCAAACGTCATTTTTTGACAGGTCCAATCCTATAAAAAAAATTCAAATGAATTTTTTTTTTCTTTTCTAATAGTCATTTTTTTTTTGACAGGTCCAATATGATTTTTTTTTTCAAACGTCATTTTTTGACAGGTCCAATCCTATAAAAAAAAACATTTTTCAAATTACAGGTCCGATGACACCTATAAATTATTTTTTTTTCAAGTATCATTTTTTTTTGACAGGTCCAATAATATGAAAATGTTTTTTTTTTTTTCAAACGTCATTTTTTTCACAGGTCCAAAGTTATAAAAAAAATTTTTTTTTTTTTTTTCAAACGTCATTTTTTGACAGGTCCAATCCTATAAAAAAAAAAAAAAAATCCAAATTACAAGTTTAATGACACCTATAAATTATTATTATTTTTTTTTTCAAGTGTCATTTTTTTTTGACAGGTCCAATACATAATATGATTTTTTTTTTTTTTTCAAATGTCATTTTTGACCGGTCCAAACTTATGAAAAAAAAAAATTTTTTTTTTAAACGTCATTTTTTGACAGGTCCAATGACACCTATAAATTATTATTTTTTTTTTTTCAAGGTGTCCTTTTTTTTTGATAGGTCCAATAATATGAGTTTTTTTTTTTTTTTTCAAATGTCTTTTTTTTTTGACAGGTACAATGATATGATTTTTTTTTTTAAATGTCATTTTTTGACAGGTCTAATCCTATTAAAAATTTTTTTTTTTCAAATGAAATTTTTTTTTTGACAGATCCAATGACACCTATAAAATTCTGTATTTTTTTTTGCAAGTTTCATTTTTTTTTGACAGGTGACATAATATGATTTTTTTTTTTTTTTTCAAATGTCATTTTTGACCGGTCCAAACTTATGAAAAAAAAAAAAATTTTTTTTAAACGTCATTTTTTGACAGGTCCAATGACACCTATAAATTATTTTTTTTTTTTTCAAGTGTGTCCTTTTTTTTTGATAGGTCCAATAATATGATATTTTTTTTTTTTTTCAAATGTCTTTTTTTTTTGACAGGTACAATGATATGATTTTTTTTTTTAAATGTCATTTTTTGACAGGTCTAATCCTATTAAAAATTTTTTTTTTTTCAAATGAAATTTTTTTTTTTGACAGGTTCAAACTTAAAAAAAATATTTTTTTTCAAACGTCATTTTTTGACAGGTCCAATCCTATAAAAAAAATTCAAATGAATTTTTTTTTTCTTTTCTAATAGTCATTTTTTTTTTGACAGGTCCAATATGATTTTTTTTTTCAAACGTCATTTTTTGACAGGTCCAATCCTATAAAAAAAAACATTTTTCAAATTACAGGTCCGATGACACCTATAAATTATTTTTTTTTCAAGTATCATTTTTTTTTGACAGGTCCAATAATATGAAAATGTTTTTTTTTTTTTCAAACGTCATTTTTTTCACAGGTCCAAAGTTATAAAAAAAATTTTTTTTTTTTTTTTCAAACGTCATTTTTTGACAGGTCCAATCCTATAAAAAAAAAAAAAAAATCCAAATTACAAGTTTAATGACACCTATAAATTATTATTATTTTTTTTTTCAAGTGTCATTTTTTTTTGAAAGGTCCAATACATAATATGATTTTTTTTTTTTTCTCAAATGTCATTTTTGACCGGTCCAAACTTATGAAAAAAAAAATATTTTTTTTTAAACGTCATTTTTTGACAGGTCCAATGACACCTATAAATTATTATTTTTTTTTTTTCAAGGTGTCCTTTTTTTTTGATAGGTCCAATAATATGAGTTTTTTTTTTTTTTTCAAATGTCTTTTTTTTTTGACAGGTACAATGATATGATTTTTTTTTTGAAATGTCATTTTTTGACAGGTCTAATCCTATTAAAAAAAAATTTTTTTGACAGGTCCAATGACACCTATAAAATTTTGTATTTTTTTTTGCAAGTGTCATTTTTTTTTGACAGGTACAATAATATCAATTTTTTATTTTTTTTTCAAATGTCTTTTTTTTTGACAGGTACAATGATATGAATTTTTTTTTTAAATGTCATTTTTTGACAGGTCCAAACTTAATTTTTTTTTTTTTTCAAACGTCATTTTTTGACAGGTCCAATCCTATAAAAAAAATAAAAAAATTCAAATGAATTTTTTTTTCTTTTCTAATGAGTTTTGAAATGGTACTTAGTTGAAGTCGCTGGCATTTACCGGTTTTTGAGAAAATCGAGTTTGAAGTTTTTGACTAAATTTTAACTAAAATCCAACTTTGAAGCTGAATTGCTCTAAAAATATTCAGATTATTAAACTCAATCTAGCACTGATTTATAGAGAATTTGATGCTCTTTCCAACCATATATAATTTGTTTTGATTTGTTCAAATTTCTTCGAAGATATTGGCCATTATTCCTAACCTTGTCAAGATTTTAAAAAAAATTCCAGAACGAAAATTGTGATTTTTTAGCTTTTTGAATTCGCCATTTTGAAAGTGATGTTAGAATTTTTTTCGATTAATTTAAAACCGCTAAATAAATTGGAAAAGTCAAAATTTTGAAAATATGATTGGTTTGACTGAAATCCATAAGCAACGCCACTGGCCAAACAAAATACATGTTGCCAACTTGAAAAATAACCGGCCAATAGCAACAAGAGCCTGGAATAAACAGAAATTGAAATATAGAAAAGGAAACATATATAAATAGGTATATCAAAAGAACAAATACAAATTTATATAAAAATTAAAGGACCTCCTCACACACCACTTATGGGTATTTGGTTTTCTGTCAAACAAATGAAATTTGTATAATGAAGTAAAATTTTAATACATTACGAGGGATGTTTATAAAGTGTATGCCATTGTTAAAAATATTCAAAATTTATGAAATTTCAAAATCACCAGAAATTGCCATTTTTCAAAAAGTTTTTGACCAATCACCAGATTTTTCATAAAATCACCAGATCTGGTGAAATTTCACCAGACCTGGCATCACTGCGTTGACTTGCTAATTTTGTTCATTACTAAATCAAGCAATCTTTGTTTATAATAACTATCGAAACTGCTAATGATGAAATCAGTTAACTGTGTTAGGTTATATGCTGGACAGACTTTGAAAATGCTGTACAATACAGCGAAATGCTGTACGTATGGTCATCCTATATTACCTATTTCTTTGTTATCAGACAGAAACCAAAACATTGAACATGTTTCAAATTTATTTTTAAACTTCAAAATGTTCGATGTAAATAAAAGAGATGAGAGAATGAGACGAGCCAACCAAACTACTTGTCGCCGCGACCGGCGGCTGCGTCTGAGGTTGCAAAAGACGCAGCAATCCGTCGCCACCGCCAGACGTGTCAGCGAAACCGTACCTTAAATGTTATCAAATTTTTTCAGCAATGGGTTCGCGATCTGGAACTAATATCAAAGAATACATGGTATATCACTAAAACCATAGTCACTCCAACCGAAAAAGCCAGACATAATGTGTTTAGAAGAGTTTATCATTGTCAGTTTAATTGAAAGAAGGTCGAAAAAGGGAACATGTTTCAAGAAATATTAATTGTCCAGCAGAATTACTAGTCGTTACTATCAAGAAACAAGTATTTCATCCCCGAATCAAGCTTAAGCATGTTGACAATTTGCTTGAAGAATGGCCATGCATATAATTACTATGAAAAATGATCACAACCACAACCATATAATAAAATAGTGTGGCAGCTTTGACAAGAAAACCAATAGAGAAACAAACAAGGAAAGAAGTTTTTCAATTGTTTGAAAAGGAGCATTCAGTTGCTTCAGCTTATAACAGTTTCTGCTTTAGTAAAATGGAAGAACTAGGCGACAAATATGATGAAGTTGTATGCGACAAACACTATTTTCCATCTAAAGAAGATTTTTCCAACTTGTGGAAAACTCATTTCAAAGGCCATTATGAAGATAGATCAGGTGAAAATATGTTTTTCCAGCTGGAAGAAAATCTAAAACATTCCATTGACACAGTTTATATAATACACATAACGAAGACGACTATGCTGTTTCATTATGTACTCCAATAATGCAGCGTGCTGCAAGGCACCTGATTCAGTCATCAGAAATATTATTCGTGGATGCTACGAGTAATTGCGACGTACAAAATCATAAGTTATATTTCTTTGCAACCCAATCACCAGCAGGGGGTATACCATTAGGATGCATAATTACAAATAGCCAAAAAGCTTCTATTTTTGATTGTGGTTTAAAAGACTTGGTAGAAATAATGCCTTTTATTTAAAATTTCGCCTGCAGTCATAATGACAGATGATGATTTGTCAGAACCAAAATGTTTTACAAAAATATTGGCCTAAATCCAGTTTACTACTTTGCAGTTTCCATGTTTTAAAAGCTGTATGGAAATGGTTACAGCTCTCTAAAAATGAAATTAAAAAAGAAGATAGGCAATCGTTGTATAAATTATTTAGAAACATTCTAATGTCAAAGACGAAAGAAAGTATGGAGAAAAACTTGGCGATATTTTACCAATTTTATAATTATCCACAATACAAAAAATACGTTGAAAGTAAAGTTGAACAAATTGAAGTCTGGTGTTTGTATTATCGCCAGTCGTTAATGATACGTATATGGAGCTGATACAAACAACTATGTCAAAGTAATGTTTCGTCTATTCAAAGATATCCCCCTTTAAAAATTTATATTTGAGTTTTTAATGTAAGTATCAGTGATGACGTCACGGAATTAAATTGCAAGTCACGTAATGATGATAACATCATTAAAATTATCTGATTGATCGATAATTCCAGGCATTTGGCTATTAACTAAAACGACCATTCAGGCTGAAAGTTGGGGTAGAAAAAGACCGAAAAAAGAACTTGAAAGGTTCAATTTCCCCCCTAATGACAAACTGCAATGTCATGGTCCGAACCAGGGACGACTCGTCTTTCTGGGTCTGTTGCCAAAACTCAAAATAATTTCCATACAGTCCCAACACAATAGAACTCTTTAAAATCTCAACTAGTTGTCAATTTCCTCAGCTAAATTATAATTTACACAGAAAATTTCAATTCATGAACAAAACGAAGAAAACTTAATGTTGCTACAGACAGCAACACAGTAACAATTCTGTGAACTACGCCAATGACTTTGATTTATCGGTGAAACCTTGACCCATTTACTCCAAGCACCTGTGCGACATCCCAAGACCGCTAAATAATAAAAACCGAAGTGTTCAAAGCACACAGCTGTTCAAGATCAAGTTCAAGTGTCAAAATAATAAATCATCACCCAATAATTAACGGATGGTAAACAAAGCACTGGGCCCCAATTTTTAATAAAGGTGAGTATTGAAATTGAATTCTATTTCATCTTAAGTCATCCTTTTACATTTCAGACGCAGTCCCACAAGGAATATTTCCCCGACAAAAGAAGAATACAGGAAAACAGAAGCCCCCTGCCAACCTGTCGGAAAATGAATTGTTTATGTCCATGAAAATGATTAAAATAAAAGGATATTAATTAAAAACAATCTTAGAGCTTTGGAATACAATATTAAATGAGAATTTATATAAAACTAACAAATTGATACAGTGAATTTTGAACTGTAACAACATAATATTGAATATTCCAATTAGTTTTTGTTCGTCACTAACTTTCAGGATGTCAAAACGTTTCAAACGTCTGTAGTCGAAAGGTTTACTGCACTTACTTTTAGCAGAAATCACTTCACAAACGATTTTACAGTACCTTTTCTTGAGAAAAATAAAAACAATTGTCTTCTCGTTTACTTCTAATTAGGGCATGTAACCAGTGGCGGCTCGTGACTATTTAAATTGAGGAGGCTAATTACAGTATAGAATTTCATGAAATTCCTCGGAATTCCATTTAGATTTCAATTTCAAAATTCCATATTTTTTTTTTTAACTTCACTAAAATTCCTCAAAATTTTACCACTGAAATATCCTGGAATTTTACAAAATTTTCATAAAATTCTTTGGAATTTCAAGTAATTTCTTAAAAATTAATCGAAATATATTGAAATTTCATGTTATTACGTGGAATTTTTCGGAATATCATCGAAATTCCATGTTTTTAGTTGGAAATACCTCGGCATTACTAAAAATCAGTAAAAACTGAAATTTCATGTTGGGAATTTCGGTGTAATTTCATGTAATTGTTTAAAATTCCTCCATGTAATTCATTTAGGATTTCGTGTAATTCGATCGGAATTTCACTGAAATTTCAAGTAATTCGAGAGGAATTAAAATTTAATGTGAATTCTATGGAAATTTCACATCTAATTCCTTTTTCAGAATAACATAATTATTCTATCGAAATTCCACTAAATTATGGAATTCTGAGATTTCAATAGATTTTTGGGGATTCCAAAGGATATTTGGGAATTTTAAAGGAAATATTTTTCAGAAATCTCAATGATTGGGTTTAAAATAACCTATAAATCGAGATTTGATAAAAACATATGACAACGCTGCTCATTATACAACAAACGTCAAAAAATTGAAATATCAAAGTAGGCCTTGATTTTTTTTGACAATCAATATAAAATGGCGTCTTTTTGTTTCAAAGATGACGATCCGAAAAGCCGAAGTATTAAAATCAGTATAATTCCGGCCCTTCGGGCTCATGATTAAAATAACTCCGGCCCTTCGAGTTCGCATGATTCCGGCCCTTCGGACTCATATAACCTCGGCCCTTTGAGCTCATAATTGAGATAACTTCAGCCTTCCAGAATCGAAATTCGAAAAAAAAAATATATGGCAACACTGCTTATAATACAACAAACGTCAAAAAATTGGCCCCGTTTGGCTACTTTTTACGTATTCGCCGAGACTAAATCTATATGCCCATGTAGGTTTTTTTTTTTTTTAATTTTGACTGTCAATGTCAAAAATTTTTACCTTTTCTTTTTTTCAAAACACAAATGTCAGAAAACGATCCCCAGGCTCCGAAAACCCTAAAATAAGAAGTTTCATCGATATACAATATATGTCAAAAACCAACCACCTGGCAACGCCGAAGGTCTTTTTTGACATATATTTAAAAAAAAATTAGTACTTCCTACGTATTTGCCGAGGCTAAATCTATAATCCCATTGAAATTTTGACAGCTGTCAATCTCAAAAAAAAAAATCTTTTGTTTTTTCCAAAAAACAAAGGTCATTTTTTAGTGGGTTTTAGGGTGAGATTTATGTAACAACATGTAGCAACAGTTGGTACAAAAAATTCAATTTCCCTTCGGGTTTGGAATTCGAATTTTTGAATTTTCCTGGCTCCTGATTGGTTTGGGAATTCGAATTTTGTTTATTCCCGGCTCTTGATTGGCTTTAAAATAATCTATAATTTCGGCCCTTCGAGCTCGAGATTCGAAAGAAAAACATATGGCAACACTGCTCATGATACAACAAACGTCAAAAAATTGAAATTTCAAACCTTGAGTTTTTTGACAATCGATACAAAATGACGTCTCTTTGTTTCAAAGATTACGGCCCGAAGGGCCGGAGTATGAAAAATCAGTTAACAATGAACGGGTTCGTTCGGATAAAACTTTTGTCGCACGACACTTTGGCAATATCGACAAATGTCATCTGTCAAATTTGATACATGTTCGACTTTTTCTCCGCTCTACTATAAAAGCTACGAAAATCAAACCCCGGTACAAGGCAGTTTTGCGACGCTAACTATCGATTTGTGTCAAAAAAAATTGACAGCTCTGTCAACGTCAAAAAAGTTTTTTTTTTTTTTATTTTGCGAATTTCGAGAAAAAAAGTTATAGAAAACGATCCCCGGACCCCAAAAACCTTAAATATAAATTCCAAAAAAAAAGCCAACGAAAATGACATTCCAAAACCTACTTGATAAAACTAAAGTATTTCTCACTTACTCCGTTAAAACACTGGAAATTTTTGGTGGAAAATGAAGAAAACTCAAAATCTCGTACTTTAAATCAGTTTTTCCGACCAGAAAAGCCCTGGAAAAGCGGACAAATTCAAAAAAAAACCTCTAAAAATGACATTCCAAAGCATACTTAATGAAATTTGAGTTTTTGTCACTTACCCCATTGGAAAACTGGGAATTTTTAGCACAAAATGTAGGAAATTCAAAGCTTCGTATTTCAAATCAGTTTTCTTGACGGAAAACGGCTTGGAAAAGCGGAAAATTCGAGGAAAAACTGGACAAAAATGTGAACACGTCAATTAAAAATTGCCGACTGTCAAAACTGGCAAATGACATTTATTAAAAAACCTATTTGAAGTTGGTACAAACGATGTTGCCACATCAAAACTTTAAAAAAAAACCATTTTAAATGGGATTTTGTTATTTATGTCATTTTAAAACTGGACATTTTTGCTAGAAAATGAAGAAAACTCAAAACCTCGTATGTTAAATCGCTTTTTTCCAATAAAAAACTCCGGAAAAGTCAAAAATTCGAGAAAAAAATTGGCAAAAAATCACAAGACGACACTTTAAAATGGCCAACTAAAAGCAACGTTGCCACATCTCATTTCGGAAAACAAAAATAACATTTTAAAAGGGTTTTTTGTTTAAAATTCAATTTAATAATTAATTAATAATGATTATAATAATTAAAATTCCCCAAATAAATCATAGGAAACTTGTTTTTAGTTTAATTTTAATGAAAATGACATTACAAGGTTTCCTTATTGATTATAGTGAGTAAGACAAAGACAATGATAAAGTAGTATATGTTTGCAAAAACCACCGTTTTCTGAAAAAAGTAAAAATCTTAAGAAAACCAACATTCCAAAGTCAATTTGATAAAACTAAAGTTTTTGAATATTCCCGACTCTTTGATCGAACGCTAAAAATCGCATTTTAAATATTCTCGGTTTTTGATTGGCTCTAAATTATTCACTGACCAATAGAATTATAGAGTGAGTCCCGTGATTAAAATAACTCTGGCCCTTCGGACTCGCA